ATTGGAAAGCTAGGACTGCAATTTTAAGGGGATGTTCCCCGTTTACGTAAGTCTCAGCGACCTCAAAGCCAGGCATCGGGCATGCGTAGTACCCACGTTTGGGCTCGTGAAAGTTTTTTCGAGTAAGTTCCTAACTCAGGAGTCAGGAAAACTAGAAAGCTGAAATTTTGAGGGGGTGTTTCCTGACAGTTCTGGCGGCCAGTCTTAGTTTGTTTAGCTAGAAGCATTTGTCGAAAAAACCAACGCCGGTAGCGACAATAACTGCGGGGAACTATACAAAGAACGCATCTTCGCATGGACAGCCCGTGCGTTGGCCATTTGGATTTGTTGAGGCTACCAGGCATGTCGTGGGTAGCGTTAATCCAAGTGCTGGGTAACGCAGTCAGCCTTTTGCTGATGTTAGTTTTCTTTCTTTGCCATGTTGAGCGTTGTGGCCCTGGGTGAAGTAGGAATTAAGGATGCATGTATATTGTATGAAATTTGGACCTCTTTGGTGGTAACAGGCGGAACTGTGTAGCAAAACCGTTTGCTTCCGTACTCTTATTGCTTTTTTTTTTCAGATTTTTCCTGCATTGGAAGGCTATGGATGCGGGCGGAATGAAGGAGAGTTTGCATTTGAAAGATGCCATTGCGCCTTTGGATGGCCGACTGGAAGGCAGGAAGAAAAATGCAGGTGGGTTATATACTTCATCGTGCTTCATTTGTAGTTATGGAGGGCGCTTGCAGGGTTTGTGAAAATTTTAAATGTGGCTTCTTTGCGCTACGCATCTGATAAAAGGGCTTTTTATGCGTTTTCATATCGCTGGTAAGAAAGGGAGTGCGTATTTGTTTGGTTTTCGTAGAGGAACTAGGAAGTTGAAATTTTACGAGGGTTTTTCCCGGTTGATATACCGGCTCACAAACACGGGTCATTCTCACGTACGTCTACGTTTCGTGGTTACTTAGAGGCAGAAATTAAAATGCGTTGCCGTCAAACGATTCTGGGGAGCACACAAGATAGAAAGCTGAAATTTGATGTGAATTATGTTCCCTGTCCAAGTACAACTTAAAGAATTTGAGTGACTTACGCACAAGTGCCAGCTCAGATTGGAACATCGCGTGATTTGGGACGTAGGCCAAACAAAAAGCTGCAGTATTGCATAACTGTGTGGTATTTGTATCCGGCACCGCAGTAAATTGAGCTTTCATGCAACTCTCACGTCATTCCCCTTCGATGGTAATCAGGCATGCTCGGGGGCTAACAGCGCAACTTCAGTGGCTCATCCAATAGTTTTTCATCTCGGATATGAGAAAAAAAACCAACAAGAGCATTTCAAACATGAGCACACCTATCAGAATATGAAGCATTCCTACTGCTGCACGAGAACGCATGGTCATACCGACAGCCCTGGTGCAGGAGAAACTACTTACTGTTCCTGCACTTTTTTTGTATTTTCAAAATTTTACGATATTACAGCACTGTGTTTTGCTTATGGGACATGTGCGTATCACTTTCTGTTTCAGGAGATGACGTTCCCACTGGTCCTTTGCGACCAAAGCATGAACGACCAAAGGAGCTTCAGTTTGATTTCGGAGAAACACTTGCCGGCTTGAGGTAATTTCCTGAACCTTGCTGTCTCTGTGTGTGTTTTTCGCTGAAAATTATTGTCTGCAGAGGTGAAATGGCAGCGCGAATTGATGAAGAAGAAACGCTTGTCAGAAGTTTGGAGGAAATGCTCCATAAGACCTACAGTACAGGTGATTCTTGCGTTGCCGTGCGTTTTTTTTTTTTCCTCGCGTAATAGGGACTGTTTAGAAACAGTTATAGCTTGTCACATCGTGGACTGCTTAAAGAGACGTTTCGCATCATTGCAGAGCATACAGCAAGTTCGGATGTGGCTCGGTCGTTCAACCTGGCTGTCACGCGCCTCAAGAACCAGATGACCCTGGTTGAATCGGATGCCAAGCAGTTA